TCATGACATAAGCTCTGAAAAGTCTGAAAAACAAACCGGTAGAGTAGTCGAGCTCTAAGTGATTTTTAATTAAATTCGACAGAGAAGAGGATTTCGAGAGCTGGATGAAAAATTCAATTGAAATTTCGAGCGTAGTGAAAAGACAAAAGAGGTGAAAGTCAATGTACACGGTTGGAATTTGCAGAACCCAGGGGAAATTGGTCAGCAACGAAGTCATTTTCTCGGGATTGTAGTTTATTGTGTAGAGTAAACTCAGAATTTGAATGTCTGCCAAAGTTCTTCGCATGTCGAGATTGACGTTGAGGGCACATCGAAACCGGTGGTATTGCAAATACTTGTTGACATTGAATGAAGAAATGTTTGTGTCGCTGAACTCTCCAAGTATGTTTTTAGCATAGAGGTAAATGCTGGAGTCTGCTGGAAAATCAGTGAAAGAGACGTAATTGTTTGTAAAAAGTTCGTAGCTCTTCTTTTCGTCGAAAACAGTAAGTTCGGTGAAAGATTTGTTTTGCAGTTCAAAAAAGTCGTTGGCACTTTGCGCGTCAAACTGAGAAATGTATCCAATTTCTGAGACGTAGTTAGAAAAGCTAAGTTTGTTGTAGTAAGTCAAAATTTGTTCTGAGAGAATTTGAGATTTGCAGTTGAGAAGCTCCAAAGGATGGAAAGACATGGTAGAAATGTAGCTTTCGAGGACATTGTAAAAGCGTTTGTCAATCGGGTTGATCCACGAAGCGTTAGAGTAAACAAACGTCAACATGATGCTTAACACTTTCTCCACAACGGGAGCATAGGTCGAGTTGAGCAAGGTGACAAGAGTCTCTGTGTAGTGATATTCAAACTTAGATTGGCTGTTCTCTTTCAACATCAGAATTAAATTTAAAATACACGTAATGTTGTAACAGGTTAGGCTCGCAATGACATCGTTCGAAAATTGAGAAATGGGAATGTGGTCGGCTGGAGAAAACTCGGCTGGTGGTTTTCCATCAATTCCGCTTATTCTAATATAAAGGTTAAAAATAGCGTCAAACAACGAAAACACACGTCTCCACGTTAGAATTTTCGTGCCCAACCAAATCCACGTGTTAAAACGAGTACAAAGCAAAGCTAACTCATCTATGGTTTTGGTGGCTAGAAGCGTGTTGGCGAGTTCTCGCATTGCGAGAGGTTCGTTTGCTTGAATAACTTTTTCATTGTCAGAAACAAAATGTTTATAGTAGCATGGCATAAAATTTGAGATATCTGAGTAAGCGGAGAATAGAAAATATAATTATTTTACATTTGCTGAAACATTACTAAATTTGACAAATTCGCGCTGTGGCCTATTTCAAGGTGTTTTATAGCCAAGGTTAATTATGTCGCACGCTGAGGAAAATTCATCAATCGGGAGTAGCGCAAGCAGCGGCTTTGCGCGATACGAAATATGAAGTTACCTAAAATATAAAACTAAATCGTGCATGTAGTCGATGACCGCTGGAGCGATGTTACCGATAGACTTGAGGATAATGTTTTCAATAAAATTTTTTATGGTGGCCAAGTCGTCGTTTTCAAAGACTTTGATTCTCTCCACGAGAAACGTCATGTCGCTGGACGAAATGAAGTTTCCTTTCTGCAACATTAAAAACCAGGGAAGCACTTTGTACAAAAGGAACTTGAACCACAACGCGTTGTTGACGATGAGAAAGACAAATTTATGAAACAGTTTACTCTCCGTGCCGCCAAAACTGGTGACCATGCTGTCGGTGATCCGCATTGGAACTTGGCCAAAGTATTTGGGCTCGTTCCCGAATATAAAACTGTAGTCAACGTGGAACAACACTGCGTTGCTACGAAGCATTATATTATCTTTGTGGCGGTCTCCCACGCCAAGCAGATAAGTGTAAAAACAAAACGTGGCTGCCGAAGTTAAAAAGTTGTGTTTTTTGTCATTGCTGTCAATGATCTTACTGATGCCGTTGGGTTCTTTTTCAATTTCGGTAAAACTCTGGCTGTCTTGCACAAATTCCACAAAACCGTCTTTGCTGCTGGTTGCTATAACACGATACTGGTTTAAAAAGCTGGTTTGAGACAGAATTTCACTGTGCAAAAATGAGATGTAGTTAAAGAACTCCGTTACAAAATAGTCCATCATCAAGTCATCTGGATGCTTGTACATCAAGAAACGCTTAATAGACGGCTTGGACTTGTTTTTACGGTGCACATAATTGCCTGACAACAAAATCGGATACTTGCTACTTTTGAGAATTCGACATTCGTTTATGTTGAGCGATTCGAGGTACCATTCGGGCTCGAAAGGATCAGCAATTATAGTTTTAATGTCTGCACTTGTGGAATCAAGCAACAGTTTTAAATTAACTTGGTCGTTCTCTTTGTCTGCTTCTGAAAAAATGAACGTGGACGAATTTTCGAAATACTGCTGCAGCAGCTGTCTGAGTTTCTCCGTTTTCGAAACGGAATTGGCAAAGTAGTTATTGGTTTCGTTAAGAATCTTTTTGGAAATAGACATCAAACAGCTTCTGAAATCCACAAAACCAATTAAAACTGTGAGTATTTGCGAGAAATTTGGCAGTGAATTTGCTGTTTTTAATATCATTTTCAGCAGTGAATTGTTATTAAAGTAAACGTTTAGTAGAACGTCGATCGCGTAATGAAATGCGGTGTAGTCTGGATCATCATCATCTTGGTGTTTGACCGCGTAAATAAAACTGGATATGATGTAATCTACTGTGGGTATGAAATACGATTCTTTTTTTTCATACCTTTTTTTGAGTTGGTTGGAAGCAAGCAAAATCAGCGGGAGTAGATAGCAACGAGCTTGCCTGAAACTCTTCGTAACTTTGAGCAGCGATATTGTCAAAGTTGAGTAAACAGAAAAATTTGAGTAATAAATTATAGCTCCTTCGACGAAATCGTATTTTGAGGGTTCACTCAAGTTTTCGTTCAAGCTCCAGACAGAAGATTTATGAAATGCTGAAAACGAGTTCCAGTACTTGTCCTTGCTGATGTAGCTCTCTGAAAGAGCATTGGTATCAGAAATGAAATTGATAAGTGCAAACACTTCTTCGAATGACGATATCAAGTCATGAGAGTAGGCAAGCAGAAAAAGCTGCTGTAATATATTTCTGCTGAGGTGGAACTTGTTGCACATTACAATAAAATTATTTATGTTTTTCACTTCGTGGTAGAGATTGCAAATGTTCTCTGCATTGGAAGGATCATAAAAATCAAACTTACAACAGAACGCGCAACGTAAAGTTTCTCTTTCTGTGTAATATTCAAATGGTTCGAGCGATTGGACATACTTGGTGTGGTCAAACATTAAATTTTGAACATTCGCGGCTGAGTTTTTTGGCTCGACTAGTTTATCAGTTTCTTTGATTTCTACATTCGTCGTTGGACGCAGTGGCAAATCAACTGGTTTATTTAACGCATTGCATTGGCTACGCATGTTTTCTTCAATTTCTTCATCGACGTTTTTTGCATCACGAATTATGTTCGGAGTTTTTACACGCGGGCTAGAGCAGCTGATCTTGAGTTGGTTCTGGTTTTCAGATTCAGACAAACAACTAGTAGAGTCAGCCTTGAGATCATCATCAAACTCGTCTGGCACATATGTCAAAGGATCATGAAGTACGGGGCTGGACGTTTCATTGATCTGTTCAGCATTCGAAATTTGCGAATTGTATTTGTCAACTGTTTCTTCTGTGCCTGCCAAAAGTGTTGCAAAAGAACTTTTTCCAATGACCTTCGTAAGACTTATTCTCACATATTCACTTTGTTCAATGACTAGCTGGTTTAAATCGAAAAACTCACAATTGCTCACAAAAGTAGGCACGCTTAGCTTATATCTTTCTAAGCGGTAAAACGTCTTTTTTATGTGATTTAGCGTCTTTTCGTCTGCAATCGCTTCATAGAATAATTTCACGTTAAATTCTTGGTTCGTCAAACAGGGGGTGGCGTCTTCTGAATTCACGATGGTTAAGAAACTGACCAACACTCCCAGGTTTAGCGCGGAAAGTCTGTAGAAAATAGCCCTTAAAACTGGATTTAATGGCGAAAAAGACGACGTAAAATAACTTAAACACCGCTTGAGGTACACAACCTCCTCGTTTTCTACTGCATCAAGGTAACTCGGAAACAAAAATGTGAATACCACGCACTGTTTGTTAAATAAGCAGACCAAAAAGTCTATGGTTCCTGAATAATAGTTTTTAACATGGGAAAACGCTTCAATTGCCTCGCACACAACGTCAATGTGCATACAATTGAATAACTGATCTACGCCATACGTTTGTATATTTTTTTTTATATTTACTCTCAAATAATCATTTTCCACAAATGCAATTTCTGATTGACTAAAGTCGCCAATTTTCAAAACATAGTGCTGTGAAAGCGATATAGGTAGTGTTACGAACAAGTCATGTTTTTCAACATACAACATGTTCGTTTTTAAGCATACTTATTGATTCTTTTGAAAATTCATACCTAGCTTCACGAGGAAAACTATAAATAAAATCTAATTGAATTTATTTATGATATAAATTTTATATTTGAACGATTTAAAGGCTAGGCCAACTATTATAAAAATTAATTACTGTCTGTTGTATATGAAATTTAACAGTTGAAAAATTTCGCATCAACATGCTTCGCCTTGATTGGCGCGATATCCGGTTAAGAACAAACGAGAGAATCTCCAGGAGTGCTTGGTAGTGTTTTCATCTGGCTCGTAAGCAGTTGTTTCTGACTCTGGAAATTTTGTATCTGCATAAAGTTCATTTTCGATTTCTCGAGCGTTGTATTTGGTTATGAACGGATGTCTCAACATTTCATCGGGAGTCATTCGGAGATCGGGGTTTTTTTCAAGTGTGTGCCGCAGAAAGTCGCAAATTTCTGCAGACATGAACGGAAGCAACTTGGACTCAAGATCTCCGTATTGAATTTCATATTGTTGTTTGCGTCGAGCCTTTTCTTCTTCGCACGGAATTTCTTCTGGCACGTCGTACTTAAAAGGAGGCCCGCCAGTGGCAAGTTCAAAGCACAAAATACCCAGACACCAAATGTCGACTTCTTTTCCGTACCACTCTTGTCTGACGATTTCAGGCGATAAATAGTCCATAGTTCCACAATAAGTTTTTCTCCGGTTTTTTAAATATCTGTACGACTTAGGCACGTCGTTGGAGTCATTTATCACTTTTGCAATGTCCGGTTCTTCCGGGATGTGCGCAGCCCAGCCAAAGTCAGCTAATTTAAGCCGACCATCAAGATCAATAAGAATGTTTTCTGGCTTTAAATCTCGATGTATAACGTTCATTTTATGGCAAGCGCGAATCGCGCTGATCATCTGGAACATGTAGCGACTAACAATCGGTTCGCGCAAACCTCCAAGAGACAATTTGTCCATTAATTCGCCTTTTGGAGCAACTTCGATTATGAGACAAATTGCAGTCTTTGTGATGAACCAGCCAAAAAAACCCAAAATGTTTGGGTGGATTAAATGACTGTGGATTTCGATTTCTCGCCGCAAAAGGTGCTCATTTCCGGTGTTTAATAAAGAAGCTTTTTTAATAGCTTTAATCGCCACGATATAGCCTGTGCGACGCTCTCTTGCTAGGTAAACTGATCCAAATTGACCGGACCCTAACTTTCTGCCTATGTCAAAATCGTTTAACGTCCATTTTGGAGCTAATGGATCGGTTATTCCAAAAGAGTCAGTAAATCTGGCTCGTATTCTAGCTCGGTAATCAGGCGTACACTCGTTGTTGCGCCGTCTGAGTGTTTCAATCGTTGCTTTTATTTGTGCTTTTTTTTCTTCATCTAAATATTCTTCTCTAATAATAGTAGAATACGGTGGCGTCTTTTCAATGTCAGTCATCTACACTAGTTAATTAATAATCATTTACTGATTTAAACCGCTTTAATAAACCTAGTACATTCTTAGATTTCAGCAAAATTATTTTTTACTAACTATCTTGTTGCTAATGACAAAAAATGTATATTTTTTGTCTACAATAAAAAATAAATTCTTTGAAGCAATATTGTGCTAGTTCTTCTTTGGCAAAGATTTAAACTTGTAATCTCGATATTTGTATACAGTATTTTTAATGCACCATGGTTAATTATGATATGTGATTTTTGCCCTTCGAATATACAGAATCTGTTTAATTGTTGCGGAAAAAAACCAGGTGAAAATGATTCATCCGGCAAAGCTAAGAAGTCTGTGTTCAAGGTTAGAATGCAACACGAAATAAATCGTAATGTGAAAATTTGGAAATCAATTATGCACAATAGAGTGAACCTGATTTGGAATAAAGATCTTTCAGTTGTAGATTCGATTTTAAAGTATATTTTGAAGAATACAGACGCAAAAGAAGACGCAATAATTCCTGAAGATGAAGAAAAATGCGTAACATGGCATGGACCAACTTCAGCAGTTAACGATTACGCTGTAATGCCGATTTTCGACGAAGGAGTTAACAAATACACCTACGTTCTCAGAATATTGGCCACCATTTTTGCTGACGACGAAAGTTTTGATTTGCTGCTCAAGAATTTTCCAAGAGGATTTTTGTTGAATTCTTGCAATAACAAACTTTGTGTTAACTTTTTACATATAATTGTTGAGGCAGCCTCAGATAAATCTAATGGAGATCAAGAAAAAACTTAATCAGAAACCGGACTCGTTCTATTTAACACTTTATTAACTGAGCTAGGGTACTGTGATGAGATTTTATTGCAGATAACGCAAGCCTCATTTGTTTTTTTAACATCTCGTATTTTCGCACGAGTTTCTCGCTCCATCAAAGAATTATTCGTTAGTTGCGCAAAATACAAATCGCGACGCAGTCTTTTCAAATTACATTCACATTGCGCACTGTACACGGCGAAATCCACTTCTGCTTCAATCTTTTTTCTGGCGTCTGAGTTGTGTGGATAAGAAGATTCAAATCGTTTGTTGACGTAATAGGGTACTTTATAATTTTCAGTCATTGTTCCATAAGGAGTGTCGTTTGTTGCATTAAGATTGTATTTTGGGGAAGACCAGTCGATTCCACCGAAAAATGCCTTTAAGATCTGGAAAAAAGTGAACACAAGCACTAAAATGAAAAGCAAATTAAACTTTGGTCCCTGTGAACCACTCGAAAAATTTCCGTCAGCCTGATTAAAGTAATTGGAATTGAAACTTGAACTTCTTGAAAATCTGTGAGCGCCCATGAAAGGGTTGTCAACGCCAACAAATCCTTGAAACAAATGTTCGAATACGCTACCTATATCTCCCTCGTGGAAATATTCTGCGTGTGTCGCTGACCCCGCTGCGTCTGATTCTCTGCCAGTCATATCATAAGCATTTTTTTTCAACGGATTTATTAGTGTATCATATGCTCTGTTCACGCGTTTAAAAGCATCTGCTGCTCGTTCGTCAGGGTTTCTATCTGGATGTAGCAATAACGCTTTTTTTTTGTATGCTTTTTTAATTTCAGTTACTGTTGCCGTTTTGGTCACCTCCAAAACGGTATATAAATCGCTAGCTCTTAATGCTTTTTCTACATCTAGCCTGTTCTGTTTCGTAATAGTTCTTTTATTTGGCGTTGGTTCATGTTTCATTTTGCGTTATTATCAAAGTCCTAGAATTTTAATTAAATTTAAAGGATTGCCTCGTTATGATTTTAAATATTTGACTTTTAGACACGTGGCTCTAATTGAAAATAGCCTTATCAATTTTTTATATTATTAAATAATTAGAACGCTTTTAAAAAAATTTATTTAATTTCGTATATTGGAGCCAATATATCTTCTACAGTGATAGGCCAATTATGTGGTTGACAAGCGTATTTTTGTAGATTAATAAATATTTCAACCAACTACGTTTGATTTCACCGAAAGCAACATTTGAATTAGATTTTATTGTTTTTTTTTTGTGATCGTACAGTTTGATTGTTAAATAGTAGAAGTTACGATCGAAATTCAATTTTATATATTGCACTTGATAGAAATAAAAACCAATAGTTTCTTCCACCAGCGCAAAATATTCAGTAATCCAAAAAATACGTCCTTGGTCGTCCTGATGGATGTAAACGGGCAAGTAATTTGGAAGATGACAAATCACCTTCGAATAAAAAAGTCTGATCTGATTGATTAACGAGTAATGAATATGATAGTTCTTTGAAACTTCCAAAATGCCAGATAGATAAGGAATCTTCAGATTTTTAATCAGATAATCGTGAGTAATTAAATTTTTATAATAATAATTTGGATAAGTGTTCTGGATATCCTGAAGATAAAAATTTTTAACGGATATAGTGTAGTCTGCTGTGTTTTTAAAAAATTTAAAAGTGAACCACAAAATGGACTTGAAGTTTATATCTGCGTATTTTTTGAAAGTGGGACGAAAAAAGATCGCCTTATCAAAAAAACTCTTTAGTAATAAATGAACCAAGTATTTAGGAAATACTAACATGTCTGGCAACTGCGTGTCAAATTTATTAATTTGACAGATTTGACAACTGTTTATAATACACAAAGACGTGAGTGAATATAAAAGAAGTTTCTTATAACTCGACTTGAAGAACTTGCTATGTAAGGTTTTGTTATCTTTGTCGGTAGATGGCAAAAATTTAAGCTTTATACCTTCAAACGAACCGATGAAACTTGTGTTTTGGAGTTCAAATAGGATGATTTTTTTATTAATTATAAGGTTTTCTATTTTTTCTTGTAGATACGTTACTTCTTCGTTTTGATAATTTTCATTACTGTTTATATTCGTTTTAAACTGAATGAAATAAAATAGTAGTGAATGAATTGATTCAATGAAAAATATAAACTGATCCAAGACTTTGAAATCAAGATATAACTCGAATAAAGGTAAATAAAGCTCAATTAATTTTAATTGAACTATTTGTATGTTGTTTGCTTTTAAATGATGATTAATCATTATTTTGGCGATCAGCGGATGCTTGGAGTATAATATTGATATCAGTGGGTCTGCGTAGTTCCAACCGAAAAAAATAGAAATTCTTGGTTGATTTAGTTGAAACTCGAAACCTAGTTCGTTTGGGCTGCATAAATTTCGTTGAAATAACAATTGTTTCACATTGAATAAGAATTTTACTTTAGTGTTTTTGTCCGGCCAGAGCGAGTAATAAACCTGAACATCGTTGAATTCGATATGCGAAATAATGTCTAACAAAGTGTTTAGCAAAGAGCTAGCAACATCTATGTGTTCGAGATAAGAATAGTTATCTGTATAGTTTATAGTAATAATTATTGTATCGGTTTTTACCGAAGTTTTATCTTGTTCAATTTTATAAAATCCCGGCAATGAATTTATAAGAAGTGATTTATAATCATAAGGAAGAAGTAAGTAGCTAAACGGATTGATAAATAAATCATCGTCAAACTCAAGCTTGCTGTTTGTGTTGTTTAAAAATAATACCATACGTTTTTCATCTTCTTTTCCAAGAGTCAACCCTTCTACATCTCGTTCATTTCCCTCGTTTGGCGTAACAAGAGTTGAAAGGTTAATTATATCATCGTATGAATCACAGTTTTTTTGCACAAGCAGATTGCTATTTTTTTTATATGAATAATAAACTATTTCAGATTGGTATCTATTGTAGGAAAAATAGTCTTCGAGTTCCATAATCTGCATGATTTTTTTTGAAATATACTCGTTGACAATTATTAAATGATGTATGTCGTTTGTATAAACATACACATCGTTTTTCAAACTAATGAGGTCAGTTAAAATAAGGTAGTGCAGATAATACCATTTATCGTTGTATTTTGGAAAGTTCACACAGAAGTAATAATTATCTTGAGTTAGTATGGAATTCAGCACATAAATACTGCCAGGCTTTAAACTAATGCTAAATTTCTTTATTTCTTTATAAGAATCGTCATTTATTGTATAACAGTGCAGTAATATGTCAATGTCAACTTCAGTTTTATTTCGAATGTGTAAAAATGAAACTGACTCATTAGTTTTTTCTAGATCAGAATTTTTACATTTTAGGGAAAAAAAAGAGTTTTCCTGTAATATTTCAGAATTTTGTCTCAAACTACTTTGCGAGGGTGTTAAGCAATCTGATAGCCAGGGGTTAGTTTGGGCAAATGAATGTGTTCGAACTAAATGTTTAGAGTTTATTTGATGGTCAATAATTCTCGGATTACATGTTTTTTGCGTTGACATTGAGTTCAAAAGAATTTGAAAAGCTACCAAGAATGACTTGGTGAAATAAAGCTGAAGATTAACTAAGACTAAATTTATTGAATTAGAAAGTTTGTAACAAATTTGTTCAACAAAAAATATAACATTTTGCTCAATAGTCAGAATGTTAGTCGAAATGCTGAAATTTTTCAATACTAACTCAAGTAAACTTATTGTTATATCAGTTTTAACAGTTAAAATGTTATAATAATCATCTAGATCGATAAATTGTTTACATCTCAACTGTATCGTTAAAGGAATATTGTAAGTAACCGTAGATAATATAGAATTATTGCTATTGGGATGCTGATCTGTAATTAGACTCTCATTTGGAGCAACTACATTTTTTCTTGCATCATAATATTCAGTCAATAACATAAATATTTGATAATAACCCAAATTTTGGGATAGATTACTGAAATTGTTAAAGAGGTTTTCAACGAACACGTACAAAAAGACGTTACTGATCAATAAATTGTTTTCATGATATATAAATGTAATAGTTTTCACTATTACGTAATCTAAATTTATTTCGTTCACTTTAAATTTAGCATCTTTAACAACTAAAGGAAGCAAAATGTTAATATCAAGCGATATTTTATTTAATATAAGTGATTGGAAAGCCGTCTGAACCGTAACGAGCTTAAAGGTACAGCGAATGTGTGTAATACCAGAAGATTTTGAGGCTTTTTGGTGTATTATATTTGACAATGATGAAGAATATGTTGTTGAGTTTAGTATATTAATTTCTTTGGCAAAATAATTTATTACGCTAACTAAGTTGAATAAGACGGCAAGATTTCTTTCAAATAGATCTGGACTATTTAAATCTATAAACAGGTGAGAAAAGTTTATGTGAAGATCAGCAACTATTTTTTCAGGATTAGTGATATCTTGTTCGTTAAGTAAAACACCAACACAGTATGATTCGCAATTTATAGGTGAACCACTTGACATAGATATATTCGAATTTGCTTCGCTACCGGAGTAAGTCAGTTTTAAAAATTTTAAATGTAACGTAAATAACGAAACGTCTCCAGCATTAATAACAGTATTTATAGATGAAATATCTATATCAAGAACAAAGGAATTTTTAGATTTGGGAATCACGTAGATTAATTCTACTTCATTAACGTGCAAATGTACAGTATCTTCGATACAAATCGCCAAAGCTTGAGTGGTAAGAATAAGTAAAGTAGCGTTTGAACTATTTTGATTTTCAAGAAGAGAGTCGTAGTCAGAAACAGAAGTAATATTACTTGAATTTGCAAATGATTCATAAGTTTTGATCGCTTTTTGTTTAGATTTATAATTAATCAAATCATCTTCGAACAAATCAATTAGGCTTCTATGCAAAAAGTTAAGCAACAATTCTAAAGAAGTTTTCTTTAATGATAATACAGTTTGATTAGTTTCATTCAGCCATAAAACGGGCTTTAGTTCAAGATAAAATATGACTGGGTGTTTTTTATTGTGGCTAGTGACTGACAAGGGCTGGAACAAACTAAAATGTATGTCAATTGAATTATGTATATATTTTTTATCATAAGTTATTTGGCCATCTATATTAGTTTCAACTAGCTCAAACAAACAAACATCTATGACGTAAAAAGAATAAGATTCTAATAGGTAACAGTTTCTTCCGCTAATAAAATGAGAAAACACCTTATATGCATTTTGTAATATATGAGTTTCAGAATCATGGAAGTTTTTATCTACCGAGTCGGCTATGTTTTTATTGTAAATAGTCTGAAGATTGGTGTTTTTGTTGTACACTGAACAGTCTTTGGTAGACAATTCTATAAAAGGTATCACTGCAAATAAACGCGAGGAGAATAAGTTGACACGTATTTTTTTCAAAAAGAAGCACAAATAAAGTTTACTCGTCAAAGGTGATGATTCTATGACTTTGTCAAAATCTTTTATATTTGCGGGATTTGTTGCAACGTCCAGAAGCTGGTACAAGTAATGATGAAGATTTATATTATCTAGCCATTGATCGACATCAAATTTATCACTACCTATCAATATTAACAGTGCGAAAAAAGCTTTTCGACATTCGTAGGGAGCTCTCAAATATTGCCAAAACCAAAACAATTGCGTAATTAAAACGCTAGAAAGCCTTTTTCGGAAATCAAAAGATATTTGCTCAATATGGAAAGCTTCAAATTCGTTTGATAGTTGAAAAAGGCTAATTAAATTCTTATCAATGAAAACCCATATTTTTTGAAGAAAAATAACGTCCCAGTCTAAGTTGATCCTACTAAAATTACCATTTAAATGAATTCCCCGCTGATAATTAATCTTGTCGCCAAAATTCGATTTTAAATAACTTATGTTGCGATTACAACCCGTGAAATCAATATGAACTTTGCCAGGACCAGACAAAAATTTTCTAATTGAGCCACTGTTGGTTGAAACCTTCCAAATAGAACTACATGCGTATATTTCTATGTTTTCTATGTTTAATAAAACTTTAAACGAATAATAGAACTTTAAATACGACAAGTCGATATGCCCTATTTTCAATATCAAAGATGCTATGGCTGAATGTACTACTATCTCAGACTTATTTTGTATTTTTAAATGAAAGTTTAATTTTCTTTCTATGATGAATTGATCTTCAGATTTACGATACAGTGATTTGTCCACAATCGATGCAATTGTATTATAAATATTAGTTATATTGTTTGAAAAAGCGTTTATTGAATTTATTTTTTTGTCCACTTCAAGTCGTTCAACGGGTTTTTTATGCTCAAAAAGCAATAAAAACACTGTTGATATGGGCAAAAAACTGAGACTAATGTATATCGTTGCGTTCAGGTCAATTATACTTTTGAGAAAGTTTATGTGAATTGCGAATTTATTGTTTAATGATTCGTTAATCCCTGAACTTGCTAAAAACGAATAACTGCGCTTTTCATCTAAATATATTTGATTCAACTTTTGTAGTACTAAATCTGAATTATTATAAGCTGACTTGGAGCGAAGAAATAAGGTTTTTTTATGGAAAGTTTCAGAGTGATAGAAACTAAGTGATTCCACGAGTAAGCCATCGTTGCATATCAAGACATTTCCCAAATTACCCGTCACCGCAAATGATGTATCTAAATAATTTAAGGCTTTGATGACACTACTTTTTATGTTAATTTGCAACAACGAAATTCTGACCTTTTGAATAAATAGCGTGAAAATCAACGGCTGTAATGTAGTAGAAAAATTAAATTTGTTATTTAGCATTAGTGTGTCTGGGAACATCCCATCAACCTTCGTTAATTTATTTTTAAAGTCAATGAAAAGGTTGAGCATCTTTTTAAGTGGTATTGTCAACGAGATTGTAGTCACTCTTAGTTGAAGTAAAAAATGATTGATGTTAAAATGAACTCTTCCTTTAAAATTACATATTTCAAATGCATTTCCGTAACCAATTTTTAGTTTGAAAAAACTGAATATGTTATTGCTAACGATAACTTCCGAGAAATTTTGTTTTAACTCCGGGAACATGTGAATTTCGCTATTAAGTAGTACCATCGTTTTCGACGTTGAAAAATCTATCAAAAGTTTTTTTAACAGCAGAATCTTCAATCTAAGTTGCAAAGAAACGGTAACGCCGAGCATAGATTGAGAATAGGGCTGCCATTTTTTCATATTGCAAACTAAAGGTTGACGGTCCCAATTGATACTAATGAAACAAGCTTTTGCAATATTGATTAATGTAAATAATACTACTTCATTCAAAACTACTTTCGACTGTAAGAATTTTATATTCAAATTCAATAAAACATTAGGCCTTCCTAAAACACCATTGATCAAAACATTTGGTCTAAAACTGACTAAATCATATTTTTCAGTTTCTGTTATTAATACAAAGCGAATTAAATCGGGTTGAAGAATCAATGATCTCTTTTTAACTAAATGTGTAATCCATTTCACTGCTGTTTTTGTAAAATTCTTGATCATTGAAAAAATTGTGAATTCTTTTTTGCTATATTTTGTACTAATACCAGGCGATTTGAAAATTTTTTCAAACGTTTCGAAGTACACTTGTTGCAAAGCTTCATCTGTTTTAACAGACAGCATTTGGTTAACATCGTAAAAATTGTTTACTCCGTTTTCCAAATATTCCTGTTCTTGGCATTCCTCTAAAGTAGAAAAACAATCTGAATAGATACTTTTTTCATAAGCATCAATCAATGGAAGTTTAAAAGGAGGGATATCCCAGTTATAAGAATTTAGTAGTAACTCAATGCTAAGTTCTTCTATTATATCTTGAGAATAAAACTCGAGTTTAGTATATTTATAGCGATTAATAACTGATTTCAGAAATTTGTTCAGACTTTTACTGGAACGTATTAGCGAATAAATCGTTTCAACATGATCAAAATAAACATATAAGTATTCAAGACCATAGTTTTGAGCATTCAGGAACTTCTTTACTCGGTTAAACTTCTCTTGATGTGCTTTAAAACGCGTTTCAGAGGTAGGAGTTAAGTCTTCTATATTTATTCGACCAGCAAAAAAATTGTATACTGACCGCACAGTTCCACCTATAACACTAAAATTTTTTAAATAATTGATTTTTGGATTCTGAATCAAAACCACGTTCACTAGAGGTGAAAAACGAATAGTTTGTAGTTCAATTATTTTTTTATCTGTGTAAATGAAAGACAAACCTTTAATCGTGTATGTTTTCAAACAAAAATCTGAAATATTTATTCTAATGTGAGGTCCCATATTAATAGATAAACATTCTTCTAAAAGCTCTTGTGTTTTTGATTTACATCTAAATTTAAATGCGTATCGTTTTGTAACAAAACCAAATATTTTACTAAAGACTGAAATAACAGACGGTTTCATCAGCAGATAAAAAACGTGTCTTCTTATAAAAATTGCAGCAAATAAGAAAACGGTCACATTGAAAAAAATAAGTAGAAAAAAGCTCCATGTAATGATCTTTTTAAAGAAATATCTACTCAAAACGTAGTATTTTTTCATTAAACTGATAACTGTGTTTTTTTTTATACTTGGCTTGTTTTCAAAAAGTAAACATAAACGAGATTCAACATTTTTCACGTTCAGATTTGGAAATTCGTTATAAAAAACGGTATCGAACGAAAGTTTTTTCCAATTATTCAAAACCCAGAAGTGAGTTGGAAAATAGAAGACAAGTCCCTTGCAAATTATCAAACATATATAGTCTCTTGTAACACGAATTATTTTAGAATATATATTGACTGCAAGCCATAATGATAAAATGACGACGGGACAGACCAAAACGGTTGCTAGTAAGACCCAAGTCATAAAGATATACTAGGAAAATTTATTCTAGTAAAACTGTTATGAAATAAAGATTAGGAATGAAAATATTGCACCATTGCGTTATAATCATACTATCAATTGAAGCTAAAGATAAAACTAAACTAAATTAGATAGGAAAAATGGCTAGCCCATTATTGTGCAGGAATGTTGCAAAGTTATATCAGTTTCTTAAACTAGAAAATTTAAAAAAATATCAGAAAAAAAAATGAATTAAAGAAGTTTCAACATGGAAAACAAAGCTTTCAACAACTCTGTTCGCAGTGGTATACTAACAAGTCATAAATTTGAGGAAATAACGGAACTCAATTCTAAATTACAAGATGCATTAGCAGAAAACGGTTATGTTTATCTAACTCCCATTCAATATCATGTAATTCCAAAAATGTTACAAGGAAGAGATGTCCTTGGCGCTGCTCAAACGGGAAGTGGTAAAACTCTTGCGTTTGTTATTCCAGCTGTTGACTTGTTATACTCTGTAAAAGCAAAGCAGGCGCAAGGTACCTTAGTTCTCATAATCGCTCCAACTCGAGAATTGGTGTCTCAAACCATGACAGTTGCTACAAACCTCACCCGAAACGTAACACACACTGTTGGTTGTATCTACGGTGGAAGTAACAGAAAAGAAGAAGAACGACAGTTGACCAAAGGAATTAATTTACTCATCTGCACACCAGGTAGATTACTCGACCATCTTCAAAACAGTTCAAACTTTATATATCAAAACTTAGCCATGCTCATTCTCGACGAAGCAGATCGAATATTAGAAATAGGATTTGAAAAAGAACTTACAAAAATTCTTAAAATTCTTCCTTCAGAACGACAAACTGCATTATTTTCTGCTACTAAAACCGCTAAAATGATTGATATAGTGAAACTATCGTTAAATAACCCTGTTCTTATCGAAGTTAAGCAGGAACAAAAAACCGTTGAAGGGCTTGAACAGTTTCACATCATTTGCCCCCCAGGCGAAAAGCTCGCACTTCTTTACAAAATCCTAAAAGATATGTCGAAAGAAGCCTCAGCAAGCGAGAAATCGACTTTGAAAATTATGGTTTTCCTCTCTACCTGTCAGTCAACACAATACCATGAAAACATATTTAGACTTTTCAACAACTTTATTCCTATATTAGGACTACATGGACAGAAAAAACAGAATAAGCGTCTAGAAATTTATCATAAGTTTAGTAATTCTAAAAAAAGCATACTTTTTTGTACTAACGTTGCAGCACGAGGATTAGATTTTCCTAACGTTGATGTTATCATTCAATACGATCCCCCTGATGATATTAGAGAATACATTCATCGTGTAGGTCGAACTGCTCGAGGTACAAATTCATCTGGGTCTTCGATTTTGTTTTTGCTCCCTCAAGAGATTGGACTTCTCAAACTTCTTGCTCAAGAAAACATTGTTACAACAGCTATGGATATTAATTACCGGTCACTTGAAAAAATACAAAGCCAACTAGAAAAAATAATCCAGTCCACACCCGAATTGCAAAAAGACGCCATCACAGCCTTCAAAAAATTTTTACTCGCTTACCACAGCCACAGTTTAAAAAATATTTTTCAAATTGAAAAGCTCGATATAGGTAAATTAGCTAAATCGTTTGCATTATCTACAATTCCGAAATATGATTTACCCGCTTTAGCGAAGATTAAGCGTAAAACTCAAAAAAATACGCACTAGAATTGCAGTTCTGTTTTTTATTTAATCCGCGGAACGGTAGCGAGATAAATTTGTTAATTATAATAAATAAATTTATAAGACTTTTTATTCGTCTTTAATACTGATAGCTTTCGCTGAAATGTAAATGATTTATGAAAAAAAGACGAGTGTCTCGTAAAATAATAGTACGAGATAAGTTCAAGTACGACGATAATGGAAAAAATGGTTTTTATACTAATTTAAATCAATGTGAAATCATCGTACGCGTTTTGTTGTATCAAAATTATTTTTTCTTCAAAAATGCTCATGACATCAGAGAAGAAGATTTGCTGTTTTTTCAAGAAAAGATGGGTATAGTTTCGAAATTAACTTCACTTTTACCATTAAAAAAACTCAATTATGTATTATCGGTTGTTGATTCCTTATTCTTACGAGCGATCAATTACATTTCGTACAATTTTGGTTCCAAGTCCAGTTTTTTCTCCATAATTTTGACGACATTAGACTCTTTCCAGACCAATTGCGCTAGGTCTTCTTACTCATTGATATTTTTAGATTTTTTTCTTTCACGTTTATCAGCTATAAATGCTTTCCATCCTCTCTCCCATTATTCAAAACGTTGCCATCTTAAAACACATAAACATCTAATTACATTTATTAAACAGACTCATTTACTTTTAGGTAATATTAAAAATGAGACAAATTCTACTACACTAAAAAAAATACCTTTTAAACAATCAAACTCAAATATGTTTAATTATATTATTCTCTGTTTGAACCAAATCGGATATATGAATTCAAACTATATTATCCATACGCTTCTAGTATTTTGTTATCAAAATAGTTTATACAACGAACTGTTTTCTGTTCTCCTGCGATGGATGAAAGAAATAAACGGAACCACAACTAATTATGTTTTCGAGTTAGTTCGCTTACAACAAAACATTTTATGTGAGGGACTACTAAACATACCTGAAGGATATATATTCTACAAATATTTGAATGATATTTTACAGTCAGAATTTAAAAAATATTTAGTCATAGCTAAAGGAAAACTTGGATCTTTGCTTTTTTATATTTATCAGCCTTCAGTATTTTTTCAAAAAACTCACACTACTTATTTTTACGGATATTTAAATGATTTGTCAGAAGAAGAACTCAAACATCTTCTAGCAAGCAATATTATTTATATTCGTCACTCTGATGATCGCTTTGTATTCGCCATTTTATTGATCTTGATAAAGTTATCTTCGATTAACCAACTAACGCATGAAGTGTTTGATTTGTTTTTAAGATCGCTACATAAAGAATTTACAGTTCGAAAACACAATTTCCACCCAGTAGTGGTAAATTTTTTTAATGTCTTTCTAATCTTATCTTATCGCCTGCCCGAATTAACAACAGAATTAATTACTCAATGTGTCGTGGAAAATATTGAGATAAACAATAGTTTTGATCACATTTCTGCAGTTTCAAATGTTTTTCAGAAATTAGCTCGAAGGTTTTCTTCTTCTAAAAACATAACTATAGCCGAAGAATTAACTATGAGCTTGACAGATCGAGATATACGTAAATTTATCAGTGATATATTTTATTTGCACTTTGGCGTAAATAATAATAATTAATTTTAAAGATTATTTCTAGCAAGAACAAATAGTACTAATCAATGAATTCAAAAAAAATAGCTACTTACTCAATACTCTTCGTATTAGTTTCAATCATCACGGCAACATTACTTCAACCGTTTATCGTCCATTACCACGATAAAAAACTTCAAGCTCATTCCAACAAGTACAAGCGGATATTAGAGGAAAAAACAGAATATTTGCGACTTTCTAACGTTAAAAGCCAATCTGAAAATACAAAAGCATCTGAATTGGAGAAAGTACTATATTCATCAGGGCCTTCAGCCATGTTTTTTTTAACCTATGATCCAAAGCAATACATACCTTTTTCGTGTTTATGCAACCAAGAGGATCTAAAAAATTTTCATTACGAAACGGCTGTGAGTGAAATTAAAAATGTAACAACTAGCAAAGTTCGCTGCAGATCTCAATCTACAATAGGAGATAAAGATGTAACTTCCTATTGTGAAGTAATTCCGCAATATTTGGAAATGATCAATAATTAAAAAAATAATAAAAATTTAAAAAATTATTGGTACGATACCCCGGTAAAAATATTTTTGACTAAACTCAATGGTTGATTATTTTTCGAAATTTACTATAAATCTAGAATTTTCTAACCATGATCAATTTGTTTTGCTAATTTTTGATAAGGAGAAAGATCTTAAAACAATATCAAGCTTTATAAATACCTACTACTGCAATTTGAATTTAGGCAAGATAATTGAATTTCCCGACAAAGATTTGAGATACCATTTTTACTTATGCAGAATAGTTTTAGACATGATTTTTGATTACAGAGATATAAACTTAGTACCTCAAAAAATGATAATTGGCAAAGAAGATTTTATTTTTGTTAACGGAGAAAATTACTACTTTTTAATAGAAAACAAAACTAGAAAATTTTACAACCCTTTGAAATACAGAGAAGGTCTTTATAAATTAGCAGTTTTGTTTAACATGAAGATTCAAAGCGCAAATGATGTTAAAATTATTTATGAATTTATCGTACAGTCAGCGAGAAATTACTATATATTATTTATTCTCAAAACTAAAAATAACGATAAATTCTTGATACTATTATGTACTGATAAAATTATACAGACCGAAATTTCCGATGGACAGCTAGATCAGTTGTTTTACGATAACGATGAGCATGGCACGTATCTCTTTAGTATAAATAATGGCAATAAACCAAGTATTATTGATACTCTATGGCGAGTTCTAGATCGAGAGAAAATCTTTTGTTTTCTTGTAAAAGACATATCAATAAACTATCTCATGTTGTGAACAAATGCGATAATAAGAACTAAAGAATACCCAATATAAATTTAGGATAATCTTTACTTTTAAAATGTTAAATCAAATTCACAACTCTTAATAATCACGGTTGGCTCAATAGCTTCAACGAAAGTTGGATATCCTCAACTTTGTATGAGTAATTTGCTCTGGACTTAATTTGTTTTTTGAATTTATTTGCCGGTAAAGTACATTTGGAACAGTCTGATTTATAGTTAAAACGTCTTTGATATAGAAGCCATTTTAATTTAGTGCCCGTCTGCTCAGTAGGAATTTCTAACAGACTATAATCTGGCTCAACTTCTAAGTTCAAGAGCAATGCAATATAATAAAATTTAATTTTTGTATGTTGCTGCATATTTTTAGCTTTATGTCTCAGATGGTGAAATAAATATTTTAGCTTTTCTACGATTTTCAAAGAACACTGTTGAGCATTATTCAAATAGTTGTAAACATTATTTACAGTACCGGTTATATCATCTAATTTTTGACTAGCGGCTAAATTACATAGATCATCGTAATACGACAGAATAAGAGCCAAATGTTCCTGTTGCAGTTGAATACCGGCTATGACAATGTTGAGTTGCTGATCATTCAACTCTATATTAGAAAGCATTTTTACTGGCATCGATGTTACTATCAACGGGAATATTCTAGTCATTATGATTTCTGAAAGAATCCGACAACTTTCCATTAAAATGATGTTTATAAACTGATTAATAGGTAATTTAATAGTCGGAAATTCTGTCAGGTACATATTGATAATAAGCTTGTAAATCAACGTTAAAGCAATGTAGCAAAGGTTCAAGTCAGACTCAGACTCGGCTAGCAGATCTTTGATTGTGCTCACAGCTCGCTCAGCAGTGGACTCAACAGGTGGTATTTGATCGATTAGTGCTTCTGCGCAAATGCACTTGATAAATAAATTTTTATCTTTGTTGTTTGCAATGAAGAAGCCTTCGAGCTTTACCGAAAGCTTGAACTCTATGCGTGCAAACTCAGCTAAAATTACAAGACAATTGGCTTTAATAACTTCATTGTTAGTTTGATTGAAGACATCTACAATTTTCGGCACGAGAACAATCAAATTTTTTTGATACTTGCAGATTTTGCAAACAGAAGTCAAGGTACATATCAGAAGCTTGAGCATTACCTGTCTATTTGAGCTTAACATTTCGTAAGACAAGTTTAGAAAATCTGCTTCATCGAAAACAGCCATCTTGGCCATGCTAATAATAGCTAGCCATGAATGTATAAGTATCTCCGGGCTAGAAGAGCTTTTAAACAAACTTTTTACGTTGTCCCGGAGCGCGAGAAGTAAGCTTTCGTTGAAACAGTTAGCTATGTACAACAAAGCTGAAATTTTTATTCTTTCATGTACGTGTGACGTAATATGTCTAATTAAGACGTTTGTAATTAATAAGTTTACATCATCGTCTATGTAAGATAGCCGAAGTAAAACTCTGTATGCTTGCTCTTCGTTCTCAGTAGACATATACTCGAGAATTTTAATTGTGAGTTGTTTTGTGTCCTGATTGTTAAAGATCAACTTCTTCTCAACTTCGAGCAGTTCGTAAACCGAACCGATCATGTTGTTTTCCATGTGTTTGGTATGTAGCATTGGAATATATTTTTAAACATTTGGATTAATTGACTGCTGTCGTTATTCTAATATAAAATACTCTATTTTATAAACTATATTAATTTAATTTACATCAGCGATACTTGCCATAAAAGATTTAAAAGCAATTTCCATATCATGAATCTACAGAAAATGAATTACTGTAAAATATTTGGCGGATAAACTCATGCGGACTTGAGGTTTATCAAAAAGGTTAACTGGGGCTGACGTTTATGTTGTTAAGGTTTTGTCTCGCCAGTCAAGAACACGTCCTAGTTTGGTGAAGATAGTTATTGTGTTTTTGCGATTTTTCGCTTTTTCCTTTTTTTGCAATTCAAAGAAAGACTGATGCACAGAAACAGGAATGCGATAAGAAAGCAAAATTTGACGAGCCGGTTCATACCAAATTAGTTGATCGATGTCTACGAACTCAGTTGAATCCATCAGGTACATCATGTTACGCACAACCCACGGAT